CGTTATAATGTTCAGACTTGTCAAAACTGATATGATCTGTTGTACGGTACATATGCAAACGTTAGAGCATCAATAAGGCAAAGCGCCAATCCAGCGAAACGGTCGACATGGAAAGGTGTACACGTCGCTTGAAGTTAATTTATGAGTCATTTGCCTCCCCCCAATGCATATAAAGAGCAAAAGCAGTTACCTTTTGTTACATGAGAAGGCATGACTGGCGTAAAACATTATACTTCAAAAATGCGCTGCTGAATCGAGACTGAGAGAAAGGCCAACATCATACTGGAAGGACTATGGAATAGTGAACTGAATTGAGCCATATTCATAGCAAGGATCAGAATTGCACAAAATTTGAGACGCCAAATCTGATATTTGATCAGTTATGAGTTATCTGACACTTCAGCGTTTATGCATTGTCATTTAAGAAACACCAGCGCAAAAGCGTCGTCTAAGATGGACGCGAGGTTGTTCTATCGAGCAAGGTGATGCTAGATACACTTGACACTGCAATTGTTCAAAACTCACAGTCACCGACATACTCAGATGTTCCCACCCCTCCAGGCACCGAGGCATAAGAGAACAGTACATTGGACGGTTAAATCTTGTCTTGAAGGAGCTACCCGTTATCTCAGGTATACAATTTTGTACTATAATGCTGATTCACTAAACAGAGGAAGAATTTGGATGAACCAATTTTGGAATCCTCTTTCATTTCATTATGCTTACGCAATCTTCTTCGGACACCTTTTAACAGTTTATTATTTAGCCCATTTTAAAGTAAAGCTTCTGACTAATTTACTTTCGGATTTTCTATTATGTAGGACGTTCAAGTATTATCTACCTTTTCCTTTAATTGCGGTTCGCATTCTGTATACTCCAAGTTTTGAATAGAACGCAAATTTGTGAACGACTGCTTCTGATCTATTTTCTAAATGCTAACTTGCTATGCTTCGATTTTCTCAAACATGCTGTCACGTATTTTCGACTTGTTCTCGAATATTCGATTTCCAGCTGAAATGTGCTGTCGATAGAAAAACCTCTGCATGATATAAGTCATTTTTAGGTTTCATTTTACTTTTAATACTTTATCTAAACTTATGACGACTTCCAATTACTTCATGTTGGGTGGGATTGTGAGAATAAGTAGAGGGATTTAAGTGCTTCCCATAATTTAATGCTCGTGACTAGTGACTAAAGAATATAATTTTATGAAAAATGAAGCACGTGCTCCTGAGCTACGCTTCCCCCTCCATTTGAACCTTCTGCAAATCTCGAAACGATCATGGAATGAGGTTGGCATAACTTCTTATGCGTTTTAAGGTAATTCTACTGACCTATGATTACAACTGACGGAGGGGGGGGGGTCGATCGCGAGCCACAGTCCGCATTACTTTCTAAATAAAGCATTACTTCCACCCTTTTCATGCATTACAACTTAGAAACGGAATACTCATGGCAACAATGACTAGAAATAGGGCAGTGCTCGACGAAAATACATTAGGAAACAGAACTTTGTCCATTACGATAAGGAGGATATAGGAAATCCAGTACTCCTTCTGAAATTCGAGTTACATTTGTCATTGCAACCAAGAATAAATAATATAAATAAAAGAGACTTGGGCCGCTGATCATGACATTACCTAAATACACGTAGATTCATTCGAAGAAATGGCCCTGGAAGAGCAGCCACGCTTCGACCAGAGGTATAGCATAGGCAAGTAGACGACACCTGGATCCTGTGGCAACATGGAGCAACCAGCTTGACGACTTCCAGGAACACCAGCACAACACTCTCGAAAAGATCCAAAGAACTCAAAGAAAATCGAATGCTTTCGTTTCAGGACGTCTTATTTTATACGGACAGAGATACCCTAAATACGACCATGTATGGGAAGGTTACCCACAC